AGATAAAAAAAAAAAAAAAAACATTTTACAACATTTTGGATATAATTAATGCTTAAAATTTTTTATTTTGTTCCAACAGCAGCCTATAAAAAATATCAATAGCTTATATTGATATATTTTTGAAAATGTATTATGATTTACCCAACAATAACTTCAGTTGCTTCAGTGGCCTGCCCTCTGGTTTAGTGTCACTGCTACAATGGCCTAACTATCAGTAAGCAGACACTGCAGTTGCTAAGGGGCCCCCGACCTCTTAGGGGCCCCGTCATTAACACCTGGTTGGCCCACCTACGCAATAGTGAACTAGGACATCTCTTTGCAGATGCAATGGTGCAAAAAAATCCTCTTAAACCCACCTGATACAGTGTGGACTGACCGGACCTTATTTATACCCTAACACATGTCAGATTTCAACATGATGGTGAGCCGTTTAAACACGACACCAATAGCAAAGCAGACAGTGGTACTTTTAATTACTATGTTAATAACTGTATATAGTTGGTTAAAAATACACTCATATAATATGTTTCAAACTGCAATAAAGATCTTAAAAGAACAATGTAGTTGAGTATTATTTTTTACACTACAACTTGGAATTATGGGTAATTCAGGATGAGGTGTTGTACTTCATATGGGGCCCACCCAGATAATGTTGCTTTATTGTTGTGTCGTTACGCCATTGGCCTCATATAATGTTGGACCGGCCCTGTGAGTGCGTGCATGGCAGCACATGTTGTTAGGAGGAAGAGAAGGAAATTAGAAAAGCAAATGAATCCAGATATAAAGGACTAACCTTGTGATGTGAGGGAGAAAGTAAGGAAGGGTGAGAAGGAAACGGTCTGAAGCGTGTATGAGAGGGGAACGCCTGCTAAAGCGCCCTGTTCAAAAGTCTTTCACAACTAGGAGCGCAGTGGAGAAAACACGGCGCGTTGTGCAATAATATAAGCAGATACGCCACATAGTATAGAGAGAGAGCGCAGATCCAGCAGGACTGGTAGGGGGGTGGGGGGGTATGGAGCCCAGCTATAACAAACTGCCGAGTTAACCCGTTTCAGTCCGCTCGCAGGGCTGCGGGGCAACACAGCGCCTCGGAGCGCAGCGCTACATATCACCTTATATTCCCCAAAATCCTCCACTCCCCCTTCCTCCACCGACTGTCGCCATTTTATACATTGGCGACTTGATATGTACTGGCTTCACCGCGGAGCCGGCTCAAGATTTAATATTCAACAGCGACATATAAATTCAATAAACAACTTTGGAAACGCGGGGATATACCGAGGTGCGTGTCTGCGCGCGCGTTAGAGAGCGTGCGTCCGTGGGCTGAGAGTGGTTGAGTCCTTACCTTGGCGGCGATGGGAAAGATGGAATCCGACATTAATACATAAATGAATTATTTTTGGCTCCGCTCGTTTCGCTTTGAGAGGAATGAGAAGGAGTCGAGTCAAAAAAAAAAAAAAAGGGGGCGGCAGCTCTCCTCAAGTAAACCCGGTGAACTGGCGTGAACCCGTCGGTAAGGTATGTTACATTGCACTACCTTCTCCAAACGCCGTCAGCCCCACTGTACGAAAAAAAAAAAAACTCAACTATGCTCGGCGGCGCAGGACGAGGGAGCTCCAAAAATTATAGCGAGTGTATTTCCTATGAACACGTGACGCGGAGCGTCATCCAAAATCCAAAAGCCCTTTCATCTAAAAATTTTGGAAAGGGGCGGGGGGTGAGATGGGGATATAAGTGTGTCTGTTTGAGTGAGTGCTTGTGCATAAAAAAATAAATAAAAAAAAGGAGGGTGCGCTGGTTCCCAGTGAACATTTTGGTTTATCTTAACAGCAGTGTAGACAGATTTATTGTCTTAATTCGGAATCCGATCTTCATTCGCGCGCTCTGAGCTTCTCCCATCCACAAATCCAATTAATTAAGTCACATGCGTTTCCAATAGATATTTGGGTAGAAGAAGGTTCCTGAACCACTGCATGGGCTGTGCTGTATCGCCGGGTTGGGAGATGTCATTTAAAGCACATGCCTGTACCCACCGGCTCAGATGAACGTTTTTACGCACACGCGTAATTATTTGAGAGCAGATTTGAGCAGATGTTCCATAACCGTACCCCGTTTGCCTGTGTGTGCGTGTCTGAACGCAGGAGGATAATTTCCCTCGAATCAAATTAGAGCTGCTGTACTGATGCGCGCTTTGTAAAATATTATTTGTGCGGATGCGGCCCTCATGACCCCGCTGGCCTCTCTGTGCGTAAAAGCGCTTAGAGAGGAGCGCGCGGGCTCCAAAAAACACAGGAACTAAGTGGGATTAATGTATATTAGGAAAAACGAAAAAAGATGGTGATTCAAATTGAGCTGAATTAAATACCACATGAAACTGAACAGTGTTTTTGGTAACACGGTGTAACAATAATATTCTGAAAGCCTAAAGTGTTCTTTCGCCCATCTTTCAAACATATATTGATACCACTGATATATTAAAGTGTAAATCTACACATGGATCTTATGTGTAACAAGTGGGTGGACTCTACTGGCCTACCCAGAGGGCCTCTGTGCAGGCAGCATAAATAAACTCTGAGTAGAAGAACACATGGGACCAATAGTTCTATACGCCTCCAGTATCACAAAAATGGATTTACTCTGCCTTTCCATTATGTCCTTACCGGATTCAGAAGTTGCCTCCAGCTGTATACAGCCAGGGAGGGGGGGTGGGGGTGGGGGGATGAATTATCTATGAGCCAAGTGAATCACCCACCATTAAAGAAAAAAAAAACACACTTTGGCTAAACTGTAGAAGAGCATGACCTGGTGAATGGAGACAATCATGTGAGGACTCCACAGAAGAACGGGAATACAATGATATTCACATCTCCTAAAGGTGTGAGAAGCTGGTGGAGTGTAGGGATGGCTTTAATATTTACCTCAATACCTGGTTTGACCTGAGTAGTTTAAAAGAAATCAAAAAACAATTATGTTTTTTTTTATATAGCCTAATAAAGAACTCCACACATTAATCAAAACAATGTAATAAGTCAACCTCAAGATAACTCCTTTGATATATTTTGACACGTTTATGACCCGATCACTGTAAGTTTGTAGAGTTTCCCCATTCTTACATAAATAGAGGCATTTCTAATCTTAATTTGAAGAAATTTCACCTATTTTTGAAAGGCGTTATACAAAAATGTGCATGTTCTTAGGTTTCTTTTGCCCATCATTTATGTTTAGCCATCTTGACACTTTGAAGCCTCCATAAACACATCAGTTTTATATCTTTTCTAAGAACACTGGCCTTCTAACACACATCCGGGGAATTTGGGTGTGAGCTTATTCCCCCTGTTCTCTTTATGTACTTTTGTTTACTTTTTTTTTAATATTTAGTCAATTATATTTACTTTTCAATAGAAGATTCTGTCCAAGGGAAACCTTATATGGCTCACCACTCATGTTCAGCTCAGTCAGGTTTAGACCCAATTTCATTGAGAATCATATATCACATAGAGGGAGCCCTTAACACTGCAGTCTTAAAATTGTATTGAAATTTGACTATTTTTGAAAAAACTAAATGATATATTTTTGTAAATAAAAGCATTTAGCACTTGCTATCATCTGTTATGTATGTATATTCATACATTTTTACATATTATTACATTTTCAAGATTCTTTTACTTCCTTTTAAGTATTTCAGCAGTCTGGCACTAAGTTATTTTACTCACTACTGTTCCATTTGCAACATGCCAAATAAATGAAACTATATGAACAGAATCCAAGTGGATTATATGTTTTTGAATAAAAATCTGTCTAGACCTGTTCAATTTGTTTGTTTGCTTTTCTGTGGAGCCTTTTGTCCTGTAGTTTGAGTTTCAATTTGTTGTTAACTGCTTATAAAAAAACAATATTTGACTGATGTGACATTTCATGTTTAGCCTGCCTGACAAGTTCCATGTCTCTGTAAGAAGCTAAAGTAAACACCCCAATTAGATGCGATTTTCAGATTCTAAATGGTGGCTTTTTATGCGTGCAAAAATACAGGGCTTTGACAGCGACATCAGCTTTGTGCTGATATTTTATTTTATTTTTTTGTGAAGTCTTTTTTTTTTAAACAATGTTGAAGATTTCATTTAATGGTGAGTACAAAAGGGTAGACTTTCAGTTCACCTTTTAAGATTCCTGGCAAAGGTTTTAAAATCCTACAGGGCTACCAGATGACCTGTGTTATCCTCCAGTTACATGCAGTATAGAGCACAACAAACCACTCCCCTCCCCTGCTTGTTGCTGCTTTCTCTGTACAGATTTTACTTCCCACTTTCAAGTTCAGTTATTTCGGGAATTTTTATAGTGTTTAAACTGAATAAGTCTCACCATCATTCCTATTAGAGTGATGCTGTTTTTTTTTTCCAAAATCAAAAGAGCTAAATATTATTGATGACCATAATGAATGGGTGTTATATTTCTGTAAGAAAAAAAAACTAGTTTTGAGTAACGGTACTGTATTATCTTGTGGTTATTTGTTACAATGTTTGACGTAAAGAACGTAAAGAACTCTCAAGTTTAGGTTATCAAACACTAAAAAAGCAGACATTTTTCTGACCTGGCAGTCCCTTTAAGCTTAGAGCAAACCACAATGCTTTTATTTAATCGCCTGCTCTAGTTCATTCCACATGATACATATACACGTAATTATTACACTTTGATTCAACCTTGCTTTGAATTTTTCTTTACAGATAAGTATTTTCTTCAAGCCCTTATGGATTTGTAGCACAGGTTAAAAGAGTCAGTCATGCGAGAAAGCGCGGGAACTTGACTTCGTTGAAGAATTGTCAGAGTGAGAGGTCTTACACTCTCTCAGTTCTTTGCACGGAAAAGGATGGAGTGTAACAGTTTTGTTTGCCTCCAAACGAGCCAATGAGAGCAGTCAGAGGTTAGACTGACAGGTAAATTAGCCAAACAGAGATCGTCATTCAAGGTATGCCAGAGTCCACTAGCCAATAGAGAGGCTGGATGGGTAGAAACTGGGGAAGTGACAAAATACAAAAATTTTCCTCCAGAAGGTGAGAACGTTACCTGTGCTGCTGTTAACGGGGGGAAAGAAAACGAAGTCCCAGGCAGCCATGGCCCTGTCGCAGGTTTTAGACGACTCGCCGTTGAGGCTGTTTCAAAGACTCCCCGTGAACGACGGTCCTAACCCGCAGGAGGTCTACAACGAGAGACACCGGCTGGCTTTGGAGGAGCTTCTCTCCGGGGGGGTCGACAGCTTCCTGGATTTTCTCGGGAAGGAGAAGATCCCCAACTTTCTGTCAGATGATGAGATCCAGCGGATTCGGAGCACCGCGGTTCAGCCGCCGCGGTGCGCGTCATTCCACGGGGAGGATCCGGAGCAGCAGCTCGGCAGCTCCATGGACTGTTCCTCGGTCACTTATTTTCCCGAAGTGTCCGACGTGGAGCCGCCGCTGCTGGAGATCGGATGGCCGGCCTTCACCGCAGGCTCCTACCGGGGAGTGACGCGGGCCGTGGCTCACTTCCAGCCCAGCTATGGAGAGTCCATCTACGCCTGCAAAGAAGCTGCGAGGCGGATGATCAAAAGTGCAAGAGAGGTAAACACCCCAGAAAAAGAAAGAAGGTTTATTAAGCCGATGCTAGGAGTTGTTTATATCCGCGCTGCCGGCTGCAGATTTGTTTTAAAAGAGGCTTGTTACTAGGCAGTTGTTGTGTAATAACTAAAAACATCCAATCAAACAGACCTTTCTATTGACACAAGTTCAATTCCATGAAAATTCCTAAATCCTCTTTGATTCTTCCTGGAAGCAACCTGCAGTCCATCCCTATGGATCTGGAGAGATGGATGTTATTATAAATACAGCACTAGCGTGTTTATACTAGAGGCGATCTAAATGCTTTTAGTTTCTCAGAACGATAATCAGTTTAAAATTGTTTTTTTTAACAGTCTAATCTCTGTTTTTTCTGAGATACTCCTGCAGGTGGAAGAGCACCTCAGGCCTGTGTAGAATCAGATGTGCCTCGACTTGCTTCGCTCTCCTACAAGACAATCTGTGTTCTCTGATTCATCACAAATCTTTAAACACACATTTTCCCTTTGATTTATGCCTTAAGGGAGTTGTGTGTTTCTGATGTCCTCCACTTGTAAATATAAGCAGGTTTCATATGGAGTATGGAAAACAACATTCCATGGTGAATAAGTATGGAAAACAAGCAAAGTATTTGAGTTTCCAGACTATTTCCAGTCATAGTTTTTTAAAATGTGCATCCTTTCATCAATTTGACATTATTCACTCATCCAAGAACTTCTTGCAAAGTTGCACTGGTCCTCCAGGATTTTAAAAATCTACTTTTTCTTATCTCCAGAAATCATGCAACCACAGTTAAATAGATTCTACCATTACGATACTTCCAAATTTCTCTGTGACATTCAGCATCTTGGAATCCCTTAACTGTGGCAGACAGTATCAGGTAGGGTTTGGTAGTTAATTGCATTGCAATATAATTGCCAAAAAAAGGACGTTTTTAAATCATAGCATGATTTAAAAACTTAATGTTTGGCCACGTTACATTTAAAAAGAGTTGATTTGGTCACATCAACCTTTTTTGCAACTTAAATAAGTATGGCATTAGAAGAACTTGATGTAAACAGCAAAAATTGAAATAGACTTACAAAAGTTTTTTACGCTTGCTTAAGGTGGTTTTTGACTTAAGAAATGTGTAAATGTGTTAAAGAGGAGATGGAAATGCATTTTTTGACAAGTTTTGACATAGTGAATATTTACCTCACATTATTTAATAGCTGTTTTCTGCTACTGGCTAATAAGTCACTAGCTTTTTCACTCCAGGCGGGAGTATTATGCTTAAAGTAGGTCTGCTGTTACAAGGATTAGAAGAATCTGTGCATGCAACCCAAAAGGAAGCACTTTTCCACACAAAGTAAAATCCTGCAACAATTGAGTCCTGACAAGAGAACATTCCAGTCCTTTAAAGCCTCAGAGCCGAACAGGAAGATGTTTTTTGTAGAGGAAAACTGAAATAAAACTACAAGAAAAAAACTGAATTAAAACTACACAAAAAACTGAAATAAAACTACAATTAAAAAAAATTAAATAAAATGGCAATTGCAATTTTTTTGAAAATAATTATCTGAAGTTTGATTTTTTTTTTTTTTTTTTTTTTTTTGCAAATTTGCACAGCCCTGGGATATGGTGTAATAATAGTTGGATGACAAACCCCTTTTTTTGTTTTTACATGCTGATTTATGCTTTTTATGTGCCCCAATGAAAAAACCCTGGCCCCCTTGATAAATGTGGTCTAGAGCCGCCACTGGCCCCAGTCCAAAACATCCTTGGAAACATTAATATCACATGCCCTATTTATTATTATTAATTATTAGCAATATATTGTGCAGCACTGGTTAGAATTCTCTATTTTTATTTCATCATAAGTCAGCCAATAACACTAATAAGTAATAATATATTCAAATATATCTTTAAAAAGTATCATTAACTATTACATTTGTGGAGTGGATGGGTGAGAAGGAAGTTATTTCATTTTATCTGTTGGTTAAGTAAAGGAAAGCTTATTTAACTGCTTTAGGAATTAAAGTCTCATGATTATTCCAGCAGTTTGGTTGAGAATAGGAAGATTCTCAACTACAGTTCTCTTGGTCCATTAGATCTGTGAGGAGCTGGTAATAAGTTCAATGGATGAAACAGACCAAAAATAAAAGTTAACTTACTTTTCATTAGCTGCAGGAAGAGCGAGTGTAGGACAGGACCTGAGCAATGTTCCTTCCTTCTTTAAAGGTCAGAACATTGTCTACAAGAACAGATCGACTTGTTCCCCCTCTAAGAGGCTATTAGAACAAAATGACGTCATTCTGTTCTCAACACAAGCCAAGTTCTTGTGGAGTAAGAAAAGTCCTTGTTCGAGGGAACTTTGCTTCTTTTCTTTCAAGCTTTAGTTTCAAGTGAAAATTTCTCTTTTCTTGTGGAGAACCTGTCCCCCTCAGTACGTGAATCAGCAGAACATCCTTTGTTTGAATAAAAACAACAACAAAAAGGCCTGTGCTGGATTAGAGCTAGCGATGCACAGAGCTTTACTGGTGTGTAAGCTAAATAGCTTCACTCTGAGGTCCAGCATTTCTTTGTCATAATCTATGCATCTTATCTTCGGTTTTGGCAGGATCTGTATTTGAATTTTGACGGCTGGAGGAATGTCAGCCATTTCTGTACTTTTTTTATTACAAAAACAGCTTAAAAAAATTGCATCAGGAAATTTGAACGTGAAATGCAAAATTTTTATGCAAAAGAACATAGCATTCAAGCAGGAATAAAAGGCACTAACCTTAGAATTTGAGATGCACCAATCCATTTTTTTCCGATCCAGTCTGATACCAATACCTGGACTGCGTGTATCGGCCGATATCGATCTTCTTCAGCAATTAAATGAATGAACCATATATCGTGCTATGTGAGTGAAGGCTTTAGCCATGGCATAAACATTGTTAAAAAAAAAGGTAGGAAAGTAACAAATATAAATGCACTTTATATTATTTATTTATAAATAAGCAGCAAGAAGGAAGACATAATGGTTCCATGTAAGGCGCACTGGATTGGATTTTCGATTTTCTACTAATTAGTCACATCTGAGACAATATCCGATGCAGGTATCAGATTGGTGCATCTCTATAAGGAATCAAACGTATTAATAGCAAATATTTATAATTGAAATTGTAAATCTGAGACAACAAAAATCTGTGCCAAAAAATATAAATAAAATAGATGGGAGAATTTAGAGGTGAAGATGTGCTGGATTCTAAGTATGAGCTGCTTTGATGCTCAAACAGGCCAGTGCAAGTCTAAAGGGTAGAGGTTCATTTTATTCAAACATAGAAGTACATTTACATTTAACATTTTTATTTAGAAATTTAAACTTAAGAGATAAGGAGAAAAAAAAATATATATATATACACATAGTCTGAAATGGAATAGGCAAAAGCTTATTTTCACATAGAAGCCATCTGTGTTTAAGGAACAGCCTTCACCTCGACCTATTAAAACCAAACATCCACTCACAGCAAATGGGCAAGCTGCATTTGAATGACACTGGTTTGAAGTTCTGAATTGAAGATCCAGCCGTTCTAATCCACAACATGCAGCCTTCACCCCAGAGACAGAAAAGACAAAAGTCTTAGTGCCAAAAAAAAAGAAAAAACAAACAAAGAAGAAATTCTGAAGGATAAAGAGGGAAGCCCTACAGCACACCTACGTTTCTTCCCTATAAGAGTCATATTTGCTGACCAAGCATCACGGCTGGTCGCCATGGTAACAGACCGCAGTCAATAGAAAGCTCATCACACACGTTACAGTGGGTGTGTACCGGAGCTTCACAGCTCTGCATGAAAGAGGCCAAAATCACAATCATGTGCCACATCTGTAGGCGGCAGCCCTGAAAAGGAATTTTATTTCCTTACCAAGTGAATCTTTTTTAGTTTTTCGGCACTAGTGGCTAATTTTTTCGACAGTAGGCTGACAGGAAAGTGGTTATGAGAGAGGGGGAGACGCATGCGGCAAAGGACCACAGGCCGTATTCCAACCCAGGTCAGCTGCGTCGTACATGGGTCGTGCTCGCTAACCACTGCTCTACCGGCATGCCCTACAAAGGGATTTCATTTTACTTTTTTGATTCTCCCCTGCAGGTGATCGCCATAGTAACAGACTCCCTCACAGACCTGGACATCTTTAAGGACCTTCAGGAGGCGTGCTCCCACCGCAGTGTCCCCGTCTACATCCTGCTCGACCAGTCATGTGCCGGCGCTTTCCTAAAGATGTGTAAGAACGTCGGTGTACGCCTGGAAGAACTCCAGGTATGCGTTCACTTTGGTTGCCTAACAGGAACTCCAGAAATGTGTAGCAATTAAAAAACAAAACCAAAAAAAAAAAAATTTTGCCTCTAATCTTTTCAGCACATGAGGGTGCGGACCATCGCTGGTACGACTTATTACATGAGATCCGGAGCCAGGATAACGGGGGAAGTCCATGAACGCTTCATGCTGATCGATGGGAACCGAGTGGCAACAGGTTCCTACAGGTGCAGTATTTGAAATGGATTTATGAATAAAAATCAAAAAAGTGTGGAGTACATAAGAATCAGTTTTTGCTGCGCTTTTAGGAGGAAAGAGGAGCTTAATACAAATGTTTTTCAGTTCCTGTGTTCAGTCAACAGCTTGATTAATCTTCTCTTTGGTTCCAGGTTTAACTGGACCGATGGTAAACTGAACAGCAGCAACCTGATCGAGCTCTCTGGTCAGATATCAGAGAAGTTTGACGAGGAGTTCCGCATCCTCTACGCTCAGTCCCAACCTATAAACACACGTGGGCATCAGAGCAACAGAGGCAGCGGGATCTTTGATCACCTCGGCATCAAACACTTGGTCACCGCCTCGCCTAACGCTGTCAGAGAGAAGCTGGCTGAGCGTGCTCATCTGACGAGCACTCCCAGCCGTAAGCCGCCGACGTCACCCCGTCAGAATCCAGGTGACAGTAAAACCAGCCCAACGTCTGACTCCTCCACCATAGACGGGGACATGATGGAGGCTGGTAGTGAAAATGATCGCCCTCCTGCAGACCCAGCAACCATCGCTTCTGCCTGCCGCCACGTCTCGACTCAGACCAGCCCGTCAGGGACGGATAGCGACACGCAGACTGACGCTCAGCACCTCAGCCTCGTTACGGCGGCTAAAACCCCTCAACGGGACAAATCTGCCAGGCAGGCCTCCCCTCACCAAGCCACTCGGGAGACTCCTTTAAGGGAAGCTTTTCACAAGCTGTCCAGAGAGCGTCAGCACCACTACTCTGCCATCCGCTCCAAACTGGAACACATGGTGACTTCCCTAACAGAGAGGCGAGAGCTGGCAGACGTCACCAACGTGACTCAGGGCCCTGGAGCCCACAGCAGCAGGCAGAGGGTACACAAAGACTGCATGCTGGAAACAAATCTCAGACTGACTGCAGAAAGTGGAGGCATGGGCACGTGGCCAAGAGCCAGATGTGTGCACTAGCTTGTCTGCAGGGATTTTAGCGCTGGAAGGCAGCAGGGAACAATCTGATTAAATACTACTATATCTGTTTACTTCAGAGCTGTGTGTTTTTTTTCTAAACATTGTTTTTTTTTTCATTTGTTGGTGCTGGATGACATTTAATACTAAAGTCATGTTGAAATGTTAACCTAGGATGGTAAAATGAGACCAGTGTAACGAGCCTGAGTCAAATCTGCTGTAGTCTGAGTGGAAACACTCAGAAATGCTGTTTTAGTTATATAATGTGCCTCGGGCTGCTGTAACTACATCCAGAGATCTTTCTGGAGAGCAGCTGGCTCTCACTGTGCCTTAAAAAATAAAAGCAGGTCTATGTAACGACCTCGTCTTCACGTTACCTTTGTCTCCCCATTTTTTTCCCACCTTTCTGCTTTAATTAATGATTACATTCTTAGGATGAAGAGCGCAGAAAATATTTGCTCAAAGAGTTCCAGGAGACAAAGGAAGCAGAGCACACCAGACTGATTCGACAAAGAGAAGGAGCACCTGCGCCGCCTTCGGCACAGGGCCTTCGCGCGCAATTAGTGGAGAAGACTGCATCTGTGATTCTGGCACCTCTGCTGATTATGTCGCCAATCACAGCTTCAGTCCAGGGCGAATTTAGAGCAGGGGCGCTCGCTCAGATTTACAAGTAAAGGACGAGATAAATGCTCAGTAGACACAGATGGGATTTCAAAACAATTTGTGCTTACAGAGCTTTAAAGATTTCTTCGTTTTGGTCATGCTGTGGTGGTGGTCTCAGACTAGTTGATGTTTCGCATCTAGTTTGCGATTTCTATTCACTATTGATGAATGTGTTGAAGTGTGGTGGGGAAGCGGACTAAATCCTAGTCTCTGGGACTGGGGTCTTACTCCCGGTAGCATCAGGAACAAGGAATCTGCACATGCAGCGACTGATGAATAAATGAAAGGAATCAGTTTGTTTAAAGTGATGCTTTTTAAAGTCTTTCAGCCTACTGCAGGTTAGGCCTTCATCTGGTCGTCCAAAAACAGTAATAACAGGGTTTCCGCACGTCATTAAAATTAATTAAAAGTCATTAAAATTTTTTTATTTTTATTAAGGCCTGAATTGGCATTAAAATTCATTAAATGTGATTATTAATGGTATTTAAAACTATTTATTTAGAAAAAAAAAAACAATTTATTAAACTATATATATATATTTGCAAATATATTGCGATATATTTGTGCGGAACTGCTTCCGGTTGATCGTAAAGCCGTATGTTCGGAAAAGAAGCTTAAGGTTGAGAAAAGGCAAGAGAATGGGAAAATGCTAATTTCAACAAAGGTGGCTGGAAATCGAGGAATTGCAGCTTGTCGACGGTAAAGATGAAGAAGGATTTTGCCATGTATATATGACAGTCATGGGTACTTGTTGGTGGCATTAAAATTATTTCTCAGAGCATTAAATTATAGTTGCTAATTCCTGTATAAACCCTGAATAAAACGTTTTCCTTTTTTAGCAAAGTGTGAATTATATTTTTCTCATGGATTCAGGTTGATTGGTTGGTTAAATTATATTTATCTGATAATAAAGTTTTATAACCTCAAAGTGTCAACAGGACAGACAAAACAGGGCAAATATATTTCAGTGTGCTATAATGGTATGTACATATGTCTTTACAGAGGACCCTTTAAGCAAATTATCACATACAGAAAGCAGCCATCTATCAGACTGTTGTTTAAAAGCAGGCTCTGTGATCCCTGGCCGATGCTAAGCCAGGGACATTCTTCCAGTGTTTAAATTAAGCACAAAGGTCCTACTGTAAATATAAAACAGGGGTAGTGTCTTCATGCTGGCCTGAAAGTGTGCTCAGAGCGCTGAGGGTAATAAATGTATCACTCACACTGAGATTTATGTGACTAATGTTTAACAACACAGAGGATATGAGCTGTAATAAAAGCATGTACAGATTGCTTTGGTCTTCGAGGAGGTGGATTCAGGATTCATTGAGAACAGGACTGAAGGTGAGAGGATTGTGTTAAAAATATTAGAAATGAACAAACCCCATTCTGCATAGGAGTCGCAGCCCTATTAGTGCCAGAGAAAAGATGCATAATGACACTATTGCTTTAGATTTTCATTTAAACTAAAAACAATAGCTGATAGTAGGGGTGGTGGACACAGTAGATGTTTTTTTTTAAAGATACAACATATGGATTGATTTAGTTTTAGGTACATATTGACTTTAGAATTAGGATTTGGTGGTGTTTTTAATTGTCTCTATTGTAAAAATGGCCAAAAACCCAAAATTGTTCCTAGAAGGATTCAGCAGCTTATCCAGAAGTTCACATCCCAGAGCAATATCTTAAGTTGTGTTACCTCAGATCAGTGTCCATTTTTAACAAATTTTGGGGAAAACTTTGATTCAACATTGACAACATAGCAGAGATTATTGGCACATTTCCATAGCTGAGGAGCTCAATTCCAGCTTCATTTCGCATATTACATTCATATTCTCTGGTCAAATCAAGCTTCATTTCACTAGAAACCATAAAATATATGATTCACTTTTACTTATGATATAGTATTTGTTGGATGTCCTAATAATTATGTCAGCTGCCATTTTGACTCAAAAACAACAAAAGCCAAGATGGAAGTTCAAGGTGGGAACGTCATGAGTGGGTTGTTTTACAGCATATTCCTCTGGAAAGGTCTCATGTAAGTGAAGGAAAGCTGAATGGAGAAATGCACCAGGAAACAAGATGGGTATATCAAGGATGATATGTATTTAAACTTTTTAAACAGAGTTTAAAATATTTGGAAAGAACCAAAGATTAGATTATAAGGACCCTCAAGGGGTAAGTGGTAAAGGAATGGGGGAAAATCCTGAGCCAAACATGTGACCAGTTTCTTCAAACATTAGATGTCTTATAGCTGGCATTTCTAGATAATAAAAAGGCTTTCCCACAAAGTTTTATTACATTTATATAATAACTTTTTTTTTTTTACCTATAAATTAACTTTTGGGCACATTTAGTGGTTGTTTTCCTTAAATGTGTGAATTACTTGGCTTGGAGAGGCGCAGCCAGAAACATTTTTATAATGAGGGGTGGCCAAAAGTAGATAAGCACTAAAACCTCAGGGTCAATCTCTACTGTTCCAACTGGAAAATTAACGGTCCATATTTTCTAAATAAAGACAAACTATATTTTCCCACAGTCTTTGCTAACAAATAATGCATATATTTAAACAACCGTAATTTCTAACTAAAAGGTATAGTGGATAAAATTCATTCAGGTTTCAGTTTTGGGCGAACATCTTTTCCATTGTCATTACATACCAACTTTTAGCAGTAATTATTCTGCATAAAACTGATATTTACGAGTTCTAATATCTACATAAATTGATCGTTTAATATGTTTTTTTTAAATAGTTATTTATCTATGATTTCACTGAAGACTCTCAGATGACTGGTAGAGACACATTTTCTCTTTATCCCATAATACACAAAATCTATTTCTGAACAGAGCATGAATTCTGTATTTATAATCTTTAATGTTAACATATTGATGTGCATCATTAACCAGTGTCATAGGTGTTAATATAACAAAAATGCAAATGTTTTGCCACCAACTGTATTAGAGGGAAATAAATGGTAGGGGTGGCCAATGATTGGCTCAGGGTGGCCATCGCCACCCCTGGCCCCCCATCTAGCTCCGCCCCTGCTGGGTTGTGTTTGGCATCTGGTTTGAAATATAAGACCATGACCCCATTAGGGAGATTAAAACCAGGGAAAAATGTCTTTAATAAAAAAACTAAAAATATATAAAAAATAAAGATAAAGTAAACGGCAAAAATATAAATATAAAATTAGTGATTTTGGTCCTGCTTTATCCATAATAAGGACAGGGGCAGAGCTAGATGGGGGGCCAGGGGTGGCCATGGCCACCTTTTGCCAATCATTGGCCACCCCTGTGGCCACCCCTACCATTTTTTTTCTCTCAAGCAGAAAATTCAAAACATTTTAATTTTATACATATTAACAATTACTTGACAACAGAAACACTGTGGTTAATTATGCACATCAATATACCAACATTAGAGATGATTAGTACAGAATTTAATGCTCTTTTAGAACTAGATTTATCGTTTTATGCCGTAAAGAGAAAATGATATGTCTCTGCAAGTCATCTAAGAGTCTTCAGTGAAATCATAGATACTGTAAATAACTATTTTATTAAAAACCAATAAAATTATCAATTTATGTAGACATTAGTAGTTGTAAATATCAATTTAATGTAGAATGATATTGATATAGTAGGTAAGTAGGCAAGTAATGACGATGGAAAAGATGTGCGCTCCAGAATTCAAACCTCAAAGAATTTTTTCCAATATAGCCTTTATCTAGACGGCTGTTTAAATATATGCATCTATTTGTTAGCAAAAGCTGTAGGAATCAATAGTTTGGCTATGTTCACACTGCAGCCCTTGATGCTCAATTCCGATTTTTTTGTGAAATCCTATTTTTTTTGCGTTGCCGTTCATATTTCCAAATATATGCGACTTATATTTGATCTCCTGTGTGAACTGCAGTCACACAACGCAAGTGTCCCGCATGCGCAGTAGAGAACACAATGACGTCACATGCCAGTGTGCTCTATGTTTCCGGAAGTAAACATGGACGGTAGTGTCGGCGAGCATCTAGCGGTCTTTTCCAACCATAAAAACACATTCTTTTCAATATGGTTAAACATAAATACTGGTCCCCGCATCATCATCCACCATGGTTAATGCTTTTCTTGGCGCATCTGTGTAGCAAGACGCATAATAGTGACCACTGTCGGGTATTAATGACGTTCAGGTCGGATGAATGCGACCTGGCCGTTCACACACAGGTCGCATTTGAAAAGATCAGATTTGTATCGGATTCAGGACCACATAGCCAAGTGACCTGGGTCACGTTGGAAAAAATCAGATCTGTGTTGTTCAGACAGCCATGAAAAGATCAGATCCAGGTCGCATATGGGCAAAAAATCAGATTGTGGTCACTTCAGGGTGCGGTGTCAACGCAGTCTTTGTCTTTATTTAGAAATGTGGGCGTTGTGCTTGTTCCTGTTGGAACAGTTTAGATTGACCCTGAGGTTCTTACGACTATCTACTATTCTCCCCCCAGTATACATTGGTTATTGCCTGGCCACCCTTATTAAAATTTTGTGGCTACGCCTCTGAATAAGGAACCACTTTAACATAGGGCTGTGTAGACCGCCAAAAATAATATTTGGAGCGTTTCTACTTCCATTGATTGAATACTATAATAATTTACCCACTTGTTTCAGCTAATGGGCTCAGAGACGGCCCACCTAATCTCAGCTAATTAAAGCTACAGTGTGTAA